CCTCGCAGGACGGAACCATCTCTCACTCGCTCGCTTGCTCTCTCGCCGCCGCCCCATCCTGTGACTGCCACCATGGACGGGGAGGAGGAGGAGGTGGAGGAAGAAGAGGAGGAAGTGGTGGCCGAGCCGAATCCTTTTGAGAGGGGATGGGCACGACCTGGGAGACACAGGGAAACTCTGCAAAGGAGGAGAAGGAGAGGAGGGCCGTCTCCTCCCCCCCAGCACCTCCCAATTCCCACCGGTACCGTTACTCACCAGTTAAGCTGCAGCAAGCAAAAGAGGAAATGAAATGGAGACTTGCATGGCGTGCTAAGCTAAGTGGACTCCAGCCAATCAGTGAGCTGGCTGGTGGAAAACTTTAAGCATGCCGCGTGCTTAAAGTTTTCCATCGCAGCCAGCTCACTGATTGGCTGGAGTCCAGGCCAATCAATGAGCGGCAGGCTGGGCTGGCTTAGATAGATAGATAGATAGATAGATAGATAGATAGATAGATAGATAGATAGATAGATAGATAGATAGATAGATAGATAGATATGTAGATAGAACGGAATGAGCGAACTAGCAGCTGATGGGCAGGGGAGCGAGCGAGCTGCGAGCGCCAAAATAAAGCGGGCTTTTTTTAGAATGGCCCGGGACGTGGGAAAAATTATTGAAAGGTGTGCCTGTCCTGCCAGATGCGGGATGTCTGGTCACCTTAATGATATCTGGAGTCTTTGTTCTAAGACAGGGTGTCAAATTCAAGGCCCATGGTCAGATACAGCCTGTGCAGTGGTCCTGGACACTGTAAGGGCATGTGCGCATGTGCACAGGAGGCATCAAGCCACAATCACTTAGGCCCACCCCACCCCATCCTGCTTGGATGCCACCAGGTTGCAGATAAGTGCCATGCCTACACCAGCATCTCTGGCCTTTCAGATATGTGTGTTTGTACATGCATGCATGCACTCACATGGGGGGGGAGGTGTCAGCAGCTGGCCCTCCAAGAAACAGGCATGGTGGTGGCAGCACCAGCAGCAGACATAATTGGGGAAGTCACATGATGCGGATCTTTGGACATGCCTGCTCCATTCCATGTGGCTGGGATAAGACAGGTAGCTGCCCAGCACATCCAGAAGGCCAGACCATGAGCCTCCCCCACCCTGTGCCTCTGCCCCCAGGTACTGCTGCCATGGTGTCACCACAGCCACTCCATCCTGTCTGTTTTTTAAAAAAATAATTTTTATTGAATGTTTTAATCTTGAAAACAAAACACAAAACATACATAACAATATAAGGTAATTATACAGCCTTCTGTATCGGCTTTCCTGTTTAGCCCTTATAATTCTCCATTCTGCATTGCCTTCCTATTGCTTTAACCTATAATATAACATCAGTAGTGCTAACATATTGATTATTTATATCACCGTATTACATTCTCTATTTTCTGTTTTGACTTCTGTTTTCTAGCCACATATAAATTTTATTCCATATTTTATAGAAATCCGATTCTTCTCTTTCTTTTAGTTCTATTGTCATTTTGTCCATCTCTGCACATTCAAGTACTTTTCTAATTATCGTTTAATCTGCGGGTGTATTGATTTTTTTCCAGTTTTGTGTGAAAGCAATTATGGCTACAGTGAGTATGTGTATGATTATGTATTGAGATTGTTTATCCATTTTTTGGTCTAATAGTCCTAATAGGAATGCTTCTAGTTTCAGTTCTATTTTTCGCTCTGTCATTTCTTCTAACCATTTCCAAATTTTGCACCAGTATTTCCTTGTGATGAGGCATGTCCATCACATATGGTAGAATATTCCAGACTTGTGGCTACATCTCCAACATTTGGGGAATAAATTTGGGTACATTTTGGGCAATCTCGCTGGAGGCAAATGCCATCTATGAAACATTTTATAGAGGTTTTCTTTGTAAGCTACTGCCATTGTAAATTTATAATTTCTTTCCCATAATTTATCCCATTTTTCTTATATTATGGCCAAAATTTCTTCCCAAGCTAATCATTTTCTCCTTTACTGTCTCTTCCTCCATTTTATATCTTAAAATAAATTATATAATCTAATAATCATTTTTCCTCCTGTTCCTAATAATATTTTATCTAATTCCATTTGTTTCTCATGTATTCCGTATTGTTCCCAACCTTTCTTAAATCTTTTAAATTTGTAAATAGGGCCACCATTCCATACTTATTCCTTGTGTTTTCAGATCTTGTATTGATTTTAGTTCTCCTTTTTCATCTAAGAGTTCTGCATAACTTACCATTTTGCTGAGATCCCATCTGTTTTTACTTGTAGTTGGAGAGCAGATTGCTGGAGGTCATCTCCTCAGCCAGTTCATCCCCCTTGTGTGACTTGCCCTTGGCCTGCACATGGAGCACATTCTCTTCATGCACCCAATACACTTTAGCACTGCAGTGGGCTGCTGCCACAACTGAGGCTGTCAGCAGCTCATGCAGGTCTAGTAGGCTCCTGTAGTCACCACCTGGAGCACCATGTCTGCCCAGCCCAAAGGAGGCGAAGTGGCCATGTTTCCGGGCCATACGCAGTACACTGCAACCACCCTGGCCATGCCCTTCCTTCCCATGGCCCCTGCAGGAAAACCACAATAATGATCTGTCCCTCAATTAAATCGAGTTTGACACATCTGTTCTAAGATGTTCACTTTGCCAAACATTATTGCTGTTTTATTCTTACTGTCAAGCTGGCCTCCTTCAGCAACCAAGAAAGAAACCACTTAACTCCATTTTGCAGAATTAAGAGTACTTTTACTGGTTATGAAAAGATAGCAGCTAAGTAAAGCAAGGTCTGAGGCAAAAGTGCATGAAATCATACATATCAATATTTGTCCAATACCCTCCCCCCGGTAACCCCCATCCCATTGTCCAATCTGCAAATCCCTCAGGTGTCATGTGGGTTGCATCTCCAAGAAGCATCATCAGGTTGGTATGCAGGATGGTTGGCCTTGACCAACTCTAAACATCAGCCATCAGCATGCGCAGTAGATGGTGAGAACAAAACTCCCTCTTAACAATCTCTCCTGTACCAAATCTTCCCCTCCCAAATACCCCCCTCCCCATCTCAATGGCAGCTGAAAGCGAATAGCGAAACAGAGGCTGACATCTGGCCTCCTTCAGGAAGAGAAGTCATCCCTGCAAGAGAAACAACAATAGAAAAGAAAACATAAATATGTACATTACAAATAATATTAAGGCTTGGTGTAGAACTTCTGTAAAAGTCTAGGAGTCCTAACATGAGATTTATCAACCCATTCAGTATGGGAGGGGGGGGAAATGTTTCCAGGACACCAGATACTGAAACTCCTATATTTCCTGGAGTCCTAGATTTCTTTAACTTCAAAATGCTGCTCTCCTCAATAAGAAGAGGAGCTGGGGGTGCAGGTTGAGGCAGACAAAAGGAAGAAGTGTGCTCTCGCTTCAACAGGATCATGTGAAACACAGGATAAATCCACCTCAGATTCTTTGGCAATTCCAATCGTACAGAAACAGGATTTATGATTTTCACAATAGGGAATGGACCAACATACTTCGGGCCCAGTTTTTTCGATTTTTGGGTGGTTTGCAGAAACTTGTTGAACAAAAACACGCAATCCCCAACTTTGTACTCTTTCGGCTTCAACCTCCTTTTATCAGCCTGTTTCTTGTGCTCCTGGTGAGCAGCCTCCAACGCATTGCGGGTCATGGGCCAAAATTGGCAAAGTTGATCATTCCACTTGGAGAGGGACAGAATTTGTGGTTTGTCTTGAGGTAACTCAGGAATCGGTATAAAGTCCTGGCCAAACACAACTCTAAAAGGGGTCAAGCTTGTACTACTGTGCACAGAGTTATTGTATGTCACCTTAGCATGTGGTAACAGTTCAGCCCAATTATCTTGCTGTTAATTGATGAAACACCAGAGGTACTGTTCCAGAACAGAATTAGTCCATTCATAAGCCCCATTAGTCTGAGGATGGTGAGTGGAGCCAATTAACTTCAGAAACTCTTTTCAAAAGAGGGAGGTGAATTTGACCCCCCTATCCGAAATTATGCATTCAGGTACTCCATGTAATTGATACATATGTGAAATAAATAACTTAGCTGACAACTTAGCTGATGGGATTTTGGAACAGGGCACAAAATGAACTTGTTTGGAAAACAGATCGGTGATTACCCAAATCACGGTATTTCCTAGACTCTCTGGCAATTCGACAATGAAGTCCATCAATATCTCCTTCCATGGGGCCTCAGGGCAGGCTACACTTTGGAGAAGGCCCGGGGCTTCCCCGGTGGTCATTTTGCAGCTGCACAAACAGGACAACTGGCAATGTAGGACTCAATGTCTTTTTTTCAATGAAGGCCACCAAAATTGCCTCTTAATCAGATGCAAAATCTTTACAAATCCAAATTGCCTGCCATTCTCGAATCGTGGGCCCGTTGAAGAACAATAGGTTTCAGGTTAGCAGGAACATACAATATAGCTCCTACCCTAGCTAGTCCATCTTTCATGGTGCATTCATTTGAATGTTCTTTGAACCAATCATTGGACTCAAGGCCTTCCTTGAGTTTGCATGTTAGATCCATAGCGACCTCTAAATTCGCTGTGCCTTGGCTCCTAGTAACCACTGGGGCAGCCAGACTTTTTGCTGGGATGAGTGTGTGAACGTTCAGCTTAGAGTTGTTGTACTGGGGAAGCCTAAACAAAGCATTGGCCATGAAGTCCCCCCCCCCCGGAATGTACTTGAGGGTAATGTTGAAATGGTTGAAGTGTTGTGTCCAACACACCTGTTTAGGAGATAGCTTACACAGGGTCTTCAATGCCTCCAAATTTTTATGATCATTCCATACTTCAAAAGGGTGTTTTGCCCCTTCTAGAAAATGTTGCCAGGTCATCAAGGCCTATCTGACAGCTAAAGCTTCCTTTTCCCATATAGCCCATCTCCTCTCTGTCTCTGTAAGCTTACATGAGGTGTAAGCACATGGCTGCAATTTTCCATCAGCATTTATTTGAAGTAATACAGCCCCCACCGCCACATCACTGGCATCAGCTTGAACGATAAATAGTGCCTCCATATCTGGATGTTTCAAAACAGGTTCAGCTGCAAAGACTTGCTTTAATTTTTTGAAAGCAGCTTGACACTCCATAGTCCAGTTCAAAGGCTTAACCAGTCTGGGTTTGGTCTCCCATTTTGATTTTAGGAGATTTGTAATGGGCAGAGCAATGCTGGCGAATGAGGGAATAAATTGACGATAAAAATTCGCAAATCCCAAAAAACTTTGTAATTGTTTGCGGGTGCGAGGCGGTGCCCACTCAGTGACAGCCTTGACTTTCGCTGGGTCCATCTTGATGCCATTGTGGGAGATGCAGTAGCCATCTCCCACAATTTGGCATAAAGTTCGGCGGCCCAGAGGTTCTTGAGTACTGATCACACTAAAGTCATGTGTTCATCACATGTTTCCGTGTAGATAAGGATGTTGTCAAGGTAGACCATCATGCCTTTGTACAGGTGTTCATTTAAAACTTCGTTTATTAATTGCATGAAAACTGCTGGCACCCCCTGCAGACCAAAAGGGAGTATCCTGAATTGAAAACATCCCAAAGGAAAGTTGAAAGCAGTTTTCCATTCATCTCCCTTTTTGATTCTGACTCTGTAGTAGACCTCTCTTAGGTCCAATTTCGTGAAGACCTTCCCTTTACCCAATTGGGCCAATATGTCCATTAGTGGGAGGGGGTATACATTTTCTATGCAAACAATGTTGAGGTTTTTGTAGTTGACACATAGATGAAAAGAGCCATATTTCTTTTCTCTAAACAATACAGGCCTAGCAGATTCTATAAACCCCCTCTCCAAATTTTTGTCAATAAACTTCCGTAATTCCTCCATTTCACGTGGGATCATCGATTAAATCTGGGGTTTGGGAGTTTTACTCCTGGGAGGATTTCAATGCTGCAATCTGTCACGTGGTGAGGGGGGGGTAATTTATCAGAAGATTTTTCACTGAAAACGTCCTTTAGGTCCCGATATTCTTTTGGGATTTTCTCCTCCCCCTCAATTTTTTCCTGCACCGGGGCCGCCAGGTTAGGTTGGAAACCCTCCCCTTTCCCTCTTGGGGTTTAGCTGATTGGATGTGCAACCACCCTTTCCTCCAGTTGAAGTGTGGGTTCCATCTCCATAACCAGGGTTAGCCTAGTATGAGGGGCCGATCCATCCCAGGTGCAACAATGAAACTTAAAGTTTCTTGGTGATCCCCCATCCACATATCTATTGGTTCAGTCACAAAATGGGCAGGAGCCCCCCCAGCTACTTACCCATCCAGCTGGCAAAAGGCAGTGGGGACTTTCAAAGTTCTCAATCTTAAGCCCATTTTTTCAACCACTTCTGAGCTAATAATGAAATGTGTGCATCCAGAGTCTAAAAGGGCCAGCATTTTTGCTTGGGCGCCAGTAGAAGGCACTTTAAGTCTATTGGGATGGTCATGGGGCCCGATGGGGAACTTACCAGACAGTCGTCATTGGAATCGGTGTCACTTTCCCCCGATGGAGAGGAGGGTTCTTCTTCCCTCAGATTGGGATGGAATTCTGCAACCGGTTCCACCCCTTTTATAGCAGTGTCCTTCCGTTTCCCAGGTTGTTTTTCTGGCTTCCTCTCCCCCTCAGCAGGGGCCTTTGGTCCAATCTTGGAGTGGCAATTCGCTGCCCAGTGCCTCTCCTTCCCAAATAGGAAACAAGTGGTAGACCAGGGCTTGCTTGTAGACCAACTTTTTCCTCCTTTCAGAGTTCCTTTGGGGGGGGCGGGAGGGGAATTTCTCTCTTTCTCACTGTCTTCACAGTACTTATCATTGGTTAGCTCGATCTCCACATCTGCTGCCAATTCGTACCAGCATTGCAGATTACTGGGGGGGAGGGTGTTTACACAGTTCTGGTATACATCTTTGTTCAGCCCATCCATAAAACTGTCCATTAAAGCTTCTTCCGACCTGTCCCGCATATAAACAGATAGTTCACGAAACTCTTGGATGTATTCAACCACTGGATTCTTTCCCTGAGAAGGGTTTTCATTTTGGTTCTGGCCGTTTGCTCGGTGAGTGGGTCATCAAAGCATTTTCTCAGGGTGGCCATAAACCTATTATAGTCTCTTAACAGGGGGGAGTCATTGTTATGCAGAGCAACCATCCATGCCACCGTCTTGTTCTCCAACGCCATGGTAATAACTCTTACCTTGGCTTCTTTGTTGGGGAGATCCTCTCCAAACTGTTGCATGAAATTCCAGACCTGGACCAGGAAAAATCCTAGCTCCTTTGGGTCACCTCCAAATTTCACACCAAGTGGAGAAACTTTTGCCATCTGGTGTCTGCCCCCCTGCCCCTCTTGGAAGGGCTCTCGCAGCTGCTGCTGGGGCTCCCCCATCCTGATCAGCTCCACTGTCTGTCCCCAGGCCCCCCTTGGGCGAGACAGGTCTTCTGCAGGTCTCTCCTCTAGATCAGGGGAATCAGCTTCTCTTTCGGACCTGCTCTCGTGAAAACGTCATCTCTCCCAAGCCTCCTGGAAATGTTTCATAGTGTGGGACATCATGAGATCCTCTTCTTCGGCTGACATCTACTGTTTATTGTGCAGATATTTACACAGGATTTGGCATTTTCATCCAACTTACAAGTCCTTCCCAAGGACCTGGGATAGAAAGATGTGGGTTTGATGGTGTTGAAGGTATTGTCACAGGATGTTTTACTGTTCCAAGTAAAACTGTCTTTTGCAATTGATTGATGGTGATTTTGTCAAAGCTGATCGTGTTCAAGTAGTGTTCCAGTTGATTTGGGATATTACTGAGATGTGCCAATTATTGTTGGTACTATCTTTGGGTTTTTTTCCCCACAGTTGTTCTATTTCTATTTATCAGTTTTGTGTTTTATTGTCTTCTCCCATTGTTTCTATTCTATTTTACTGTCTACAGGTACTGCCAAAACCGCTAGCCAGACTTTTTTTGTCTTTCTTATTGCCAATTAAGAAAATCTATGGAGTTATGTGGCAGGTGCTTATCTGGTTGAATTCTAAAGTTTCAGAGCAACCACTTTCTATCACTTTGTCTAATTTATGCTTCCACAAGTTCTTGCTTGCAGGCAGGTGTTTTTCTTGCAGATATTCCAATGCACCATTGTTGCTACCTTGTCATGCTGTCATAGCAGTTGGATTGTATTATCATGGTGCATATTTGTTATTGTTTATGAAAATAAGTTGTCCTGCCTTATCTCTCAAATGTACCAATGTTTTGTTTTTCTCCCCTCAGCTTGTGGCAATAAAGTTGACCCTGTGTATGAAACACTTCGCTTTGGAACTTCATTGGCCCTGAAAACCAAGAACGGCAACATTGGAAATAGCTCGGACTCTCCCAAAAGAAATTCTGTAATTATATCATTTCTTTCTCTCGCCTTAAAAACTTTCCTAATGAGATTTGAGCTTTTTTTATGTCCCTGCCTCAATTTTATAATCAACATTTCTATTTTAATATATCGGAAGGGAAAGAAAAGCAGATGAAAGAGAAAATATAAATATTAGGGATAAAGATAGAAGAAATGGGAATGAAAAAATAATAATAAATATTGAAAATTTTGAACTAAAGGATTTGTAGAAATATGGGGAAAATTGAACAAATAAAGAGTTAAAAGAAACTCTTTTAAAAAAAGTTTAGTATACAAGACTGTTGTCCCCAATTCGGGTCTGAGCCTTGTGCTGAAGCCAATGATGGACACCAGACACGAGGTGCAGGTTTTCTAATTGCTTTTTATTGGAGTACTCCAAAGAAAAGGGTTCCTGGTCAAAAGGCCAAAAACCAAGAACAAAGGATTAAGAAACCTTTATATGTTTTTACTAAAGGAGAAGGCGGGACAAGGTGAAATAATAAGAAATATCCTCTAATCAACATTTTAGCAATAATTCTACAATTTGTTCTATTGGTCTATAGCTGTCCCATTCCGAAGCCTTGGCTAATGAATACTCCAGGAGTTATCTAATAGACATTTCATTTGCTGCAGACCATCTCCATTGCTAACTTTGGCTGAGGTCTGCAAGTTGTCTAATCCTTGTTATTTTTATCAACTTTCTAACTACCCATAATTGCTATATGCTTTACACATGCATATTTCCTGTTGATATGCATTCTTTGTTCTTGCCACACACACACACACACACCAAGTACAGTCTTCCCGATTTACTTTCAAGTATGTGCCATGACCTTGATTTAGCAGCCAGCCCATCAAGACAACAAGTAAAACAAAAACAGACAACTTGTTTAAAATTAAAGTTTAAAATCCTGAGCTATTTGGGATTGACAGAGTGAGAAAAACATTCCAAAAAAGCCCAAACTATAGACTTTTCTGAAGCAAATTCCTTCTTATCCTGAGCCAATTCTGTCTGACATGACAGACTAAGTAAACAAAAATAGTTTCAATTCTTGTAAGAGAGATAAAAACAAAATAGAACTGTTGAGAAATCCCAATTTATTCTTTGAGTTAGAATACCAATCGCACTAGAAAAACAAGCTCAGAATTGTTTTTGATAATTATGGAGCAACCAAAAATTCTATAAATGCCTACTTCTGCAAATACACAAAATACCATACATATAGAATTGCAAATATTTTAAAAGCATAGAGAGAGAGAGAGATACTTACATTATGGTGCTGTCAGCATGCTATTATCATGCAAAGAGGTTGTTTTTCCAATGATCTTTGAAGAAGTCATACTATCTTTAGGGCATCTTCTCTTCTGTTCTCTATTAATACCCGTTAACACTAGTGAAAAAATTGGACACTTTGTTTACAATTACAATTTCAGGAGAAAAGCAATAATAAGATTACAATATTTCTGATTGCCATAATTAGAATCTCTATTGTGCAATAATAGCTTCAATTTACATTTCTATAATGTAATCCTGCATACTATATTGGGCTTCTTTAGGATTCTCAACAATTCTTTGCATAAGGGAATATTTACAGTATGATCAGTTCAGAGGAAAACTGGAGTAATTCTTTGGGCTCTGCTTTCCAATTATATCATACTTTCAATTTCTTTTAGCCAAATCAAAGTATTGTTGCCAAACACTAATAAAAATAGTTCCATGTAAAATTATGCAACCTAACATCCTATAGATGCCATAAACTCTCATCCTCTTTGTTCTCATCTAACTAGAATATAGCTTCTGAAATTTACAGCATGCTTTTTGCACCTAATCTGATAACATAAGGCAAAAAAAGAGGAGGAAGAGGAGGAGGAGTTATATAGTACATGATGTGCATGAAGAAACCTTCCATTTCCTGCATCCCTAATTATATAAGATTTCTTTTTTATGCATTTTATGTATTGGAGAGCAGTTGCCAGTTAATCCTGCCAATATTGACTAAAAATATAGTACTATACTGTTCCTAAGCAAGAGTTGACTAGAACACTGTTTGTTTGTTTGTCAAAAATGTACAAGTATAGATATGACATAAATATGAACAAAGGAAATAAATAGAGATAAATGGGGGCAGTAAGAAAGGGACAAGAGGCGCACTGGTGCACTTATGCACGCCCCTTTTATGGACCTCTTAAGAATGGGATGAAGTTGAGGGAAGAGAACTGATGTCGTGATGGCACGATGTGCAATCTTGGTGTTTCGAAATTACAGTCAAATTCCTGCCACTGGACGGTCCATTCGGACCTAAACCATCCTGCAGAGATGGTGATTGAGAAGGGCACATCGCAAAGTCCCTGAAAGATNGCTCCTCTCCCTTCCTCTAAGTCCCAGAAAGACACCCAAGGCCAAAGGTCCAAAATTCCGTGTTGTGTAAGGTGATTGTAGATGGAGGGGGACAAGGCGTAAACGCCAGATGTTAACGAGCAGTAACTTCGCAGTCCCACACTCTCCAGATCAAGATGTAGGTCAAAACAATCACCATTAACGGTCCATAGGGGATATGAAGATAATGTGCAGGGAAATGTCTTGTCTTCCCCCTCTCCTAAAGTTCTAAGAGGTCCAAAGTCTGGGGGTCCAAAGTCTGGCGGTGGCTGGAACAGATTGAGGGGGGAGAAGTGAGAGCGCTGGTTGTTAAGACGCCAAGTCCTCACCCCTGAATCTGCCATCCTCTATCGCTCCTTTCCACAGACTGAATGCACCATAAATGCACAGACCATGAGGTCCTAAGCGTTATATCAGATGGACACTGGCCGAAGTAGATGTTCAGGGGCAGTGACGGGTGGCAAGCGGTCGAAGGAGGACGGATGTTACAAGGCCAAAGCAGATGGTCGCAGGCCAAAGCAGTGGAGAACCAGTGCTGGGTAGGGAAACAGGCAAAGGCCCCGCAGCAGCGAGGGCAGGCAGAAGAAAAAAATGCCCAGACACGCAGAAGGGCGAAGGGGAGAGGCTGCAACGGTGAGGAAGGCAAGCAAAATGGAGGGGGGAGTCCAGGAGAGCTATGGCGGCGGCAACCACAGCCAGCCACCCGATCCGCCCGGCCAAGCCCCGATAGATCCCCGCCTCTCTGGGGCGATGGAGGATGGTAATGACCGTTTATAGGGTCCCCAAGGCTCACCGCTCAGCTGAATAGAGTCCAAAAATGCCGAAGGTTAAAGTAAAATGCTGCTGTCAGCAGCGCGCCGCCGCCATCTTCCTCTCCACCCAGCGTGAGTAAATCCAGGCCGCCGAGAGTTTCACAGCTCGAGATCTTCAAAATGCCCAGTCCTCTCATGTTCCCTGGGCTCCAGTCCTCCCCGGGGGACTTTTTGGTAATATTATAGCAGGTTCCGAAGGCTCTCCGGGGTCTTTCTCATCAGGCTTTCTGCAGAGTGAGAAAGCCTGGCAGCCATTCGGATCTCGCACATGCCAAGAGGGGGCTTCTAACTCCAATTTCCACCCTGGTTTTCGGCTACCTCGAGTACCTCGAGTAAGAGTGACTCTCCTGGTTCTCCCTTCCCAGCCATCTTTCATCCCGATTCCAATTGACCAACAGGGCTTTTTGGGGTCCTCCAGGCTTACCTTGTTCTCTCCACCAGGGTAGAAGGAGCAGGTCTCTGGTTGGGGGGATGTTTCCATCTCCCTCTAGCAGTCAGTTCCCCCTTGTTCACTGTTATGCTCTGACATGGTTTGCAGGGTCCCCTCAGTAGAGTAAAATGTTATCTCTCCTAGTTGACCACTTTGCAGAGAGATGCTGCTTTATGTAATGGCTCCTCTCCTAACTTAAGAAAGTAAAGACTCTTGAAATGGATTATTTCAAAAGGAATCTTTAATCAAGCAGGATGGAAATCATTAGAGGCAAAGCAGCATCTGAAACCCTTTAGGCAATACAAGTTGGATTAAACTGATAATGACCCATCTCCTTTGTCTGAATGCAGATTCTGACCAACACACAAGTGTGAAGATGTTTCCTTAACTCTTCTGCCCTGAGAGTTGAATAAAACACAGGTTCCCATGGCTATCTCTAGTTAGACATTAAGGTAAGATCTCCCACATGGCCATCATATACATCCCTCCAGAGATGCTGGGACCTTCAGTTTTCTGGTGACAGGAAACCAGTTGTAAAGTTGTAAAACTCAGTTGTTACAGGTACAGCTAGTGATTTAACTCCGAGGCACCCCTCCTCCCAATTAAATAGCAGTATCACTTTTAGAGATTTGACAGAATGCTTGTTGGCATTCTCCAGTCCATTCAAATATTTTCCCACCCCCCTTTAACATAAAGGGGCTTGATGATAAATCAAAAATTAAGAATCCAATTTCTATAAAAAAAACAACCATCCCCAAGAATCCCAATTGTTTTCTATTAACAGAGGGCTTTAATAGATTGCTTCCCTCTTTAGGCTGACGTCTCTGCTGTCCTGTACAGATGCCATACCCTATATTTTCACCTCCTGCTGTGCAATTTGGGCTTTTGTTGTTTCAGGCACATTATAGCCTTTCCTGAAACTCCGACAAAAGATATCTCATTGGTAGTCCGAGGAGCAATACCTCTGTTAAAAACAGATCTAGTGGCTCCTGTATCTGTTAACATCTTATGTTTAGATCCCCCAGTTTGGACTTCCACAGAGGTGGGTTGGGAGAGCAACAGTTCCTTGCCCCTGGCCCCTTCACCTTTCTTTTTCTGCTTGCATGGCAGGCATCCACTCTTCCAAAATTCTTCTTTTCTGCATATAGCACTCTGGTAAGGTCCCAAGGGGAACTTTTCTCTTTCATGCCCATACTACTTTCAGATTCCCTAAACTCTCACTCCTCGCCACCTCTTCCACTTTGTCCCCATTTCTCCCACCTTTTCCTGCCTAAGGGCATCTGCTAGGAAGATAGCATTTCAGCGAGTCTTCTGAATTTCTTTCTCATTTCTTCTTACTCTCCAGTAAACAATCTCAACCAAGTCTGAAATATCTTTCTCATATCTCCTTCTACTTTCTGTAACTTTCTTCTAATATCCTCTGCTGACTTCCCTATAAAAATCATGTTTATCATTTCCTGATTATCTGAGGCTTCATGATCTAAATCACTGTATTACCTAAAGTCCTGGTATATCCTTTCAAGAAAAAGACTCATCTTTCTTTTGCCTTATTTCACATACTTTTACAAGAGTCTTAATTTAGGGAACTCTTGGATTGAACTTTTGGATTCCATATAACATTGAAAATTCTATAGCCTCATATTTTCCCCATCATCATCCAGATCCCATTCTGGCTCCATGAGGGGGGCATTCCCAGCGGCTGTCATCCTCATGCTTCTCCTTTTAAAAAAACTGCTGCTCCACTACCCTCCCCCTCAGTCTCTTTTTCTCTGGTGTTAAAAGGACATCCATCAATATCTGAATGTCTGCCCAAATGGGGCTATGCGATAAGAACAGTGCATTTTCTCTGGGTCTTCCCTATAACTGGGATTTTGTTGCTTCCAGTTATAAAGATCAGAAGTAGAAAATGGTATGTAAACTAGCACTCGAGAGAATCTATTTCCTCCTCCTACCACTATATTTTCTCAGAGTGAACCTGCATCTCTGGTTTTAGTTTTGAATGTGACTAGATGTCACAAGAGTCACTCGCTGTTTGATTACGTTGTTCCTTAGCCTCCCCCATTCTCTGGGATCTCCTTGTCTGGGGTGTTCCATCCCATTAGTAAGTAGGGGGTGGCAGACCAGTCTCAGAGCCCTCCTGTTTAACTGGAGGACCACTGGGTTTCTTTGTAAGAAAGGGAATCAAAATAATTAACTCCTTTCACAGTCTGGGGATAGGGAGTCAACACACACAAACATTTACACATCAGTGTACTTACAGTTTTATCCTCCATTCAAATTGCTTGCATAAAAATCCACATACAAATTTCCTTTCATACTTTCTCCAGGCAAACCAATCATTATTATCATTATTTTAGGAAGCTTTCACAAGCCAATGAGCTCCATTTTTTCCCAGATCCTTTTTTTAAGTAAAATAATAAATAATAATAATGCCTTTTTGTTTATTGTTATTAGAGGGTCTTGTTCCTCTCCCAAGTCTTGGAAATGACACAACATAGAAACACATATACACTACCTCCACACTCCTCTAACAGAA